GGCGGCGAGCCCGGCTGTGGCCCCGCTCTCCCCGGCGGCCAGAGCGCCGCGCCGCCCCCCTCCAGGTGCCGCCCCAAGCACCAGCTTGGGTGCCTGGTGCCTGGAGCCGGCCCTGTCAGGAACAGGAGTGCCATATTCTGGTTTATGTTGCTTTCAGCGTGACATAAATTAAACCGGAATATGAGTATCCACATGGTGAATTTTACCAATACAACTACAGCAACATAATTATACCAGTCTCATTATGCCAGTAAATTTCCCTATGTAGACATGTCCTTAAAGCCTGAGCTATGGAGTCACCCTGGTGTTGTAATCTGAGGGTTTAACTATGGTTTCTGAAAAGGCAGTGAACATGGCTTGTCCTTGACTGCACTTTCAAATACACCATATTCAGCACTCGTTGCTGACACCTATTGTCATCACTGAGTAATTTTACTGTTCTGTTAAGGAGAGGGGCAGGAAAGGAGACGTCATCAGCAAAAACAGTAAGGGGAAGTGGGGCAGCCCTAGCAGGGTTAAGGGGAGGAGCCTTTACACTCCCACTCAGGGATTTTCCCTGTGTCTAGGGGACTTCAGACTCAAACTGTTTGGCTGGGACATACCCCTGCTGACGTTCTCTAGAGCTGTTTGCCTAGGGCTGGAAACAGCAGCTGCTTCACCTCTGTTCACACAGCTCCTCCTGCAAAGAACAAATCACAACTCCTCAGCAATCCAAGACAGCAGCAAGCCATGCTTTCGGCATACTACACCCAGCTTGTCATCCTGAGCAATGGTAAACGTGACACTTTCATTTTTAATTTTACTTCTCATTGATTTCTGCGGGTGTATTTTGGCCGTAATTCTTCTACAGACTGGAACATTTAGGCCTCTCTTTCTAAAGATGATTTGTGTGTACCTGTGCCTTGCAGTATGGTGTTTCATTCGTGGGACTTCTGTGGCCATTCCAGAGGTTGCAGTGACGTGTACAGAAGAAGCGCTGCTGGCCTGTGAAGCTCCTCGGGACCCACAAGTCACCTATGAGGGAGTGTCCTGGCATAAAGTAAGGAAATGTTACTGTGATTCATGCAGACTGTGCATTTTGTTTTGCTTTCCCACCGGCTTCTAACTTTCCTCATAGGAAATGCTTGGCTGTTTTATGGAGAAGAATCTTTCTGTCAGAGCAGTGGAGGTAGCATAGGCATTGCCTGCCATGACTTGAGTCACATGCCATAGGATATTTACACTCTGCTGTACACCGATGCTTGAGTTAGGTGTCCCTTGCCTGCTCTCAGACGTCACCAGCCCGCACTGTGCCAGAGTTCTGAGGATGCCCACGCTGCTATTCTAGACATTCTGCCCTTCACAAGGCTGCATCTGTAATGTTGCTCCAGCCCTGGTCTAGCCAATGTGCACTCGGTGCAGTTGCACAGATGCCCCCCATTTCAGCCCCTCCCTCCCGGAAAAAACAACCCCCCCAAACTGAGTGGTGCTGCAACTCCCAGCACCAGCTCGCAACACCACTCGTTCACATTTGGCCCAGCTGCTTCTTCCATGACGGAGGAGGGCTGGGCCAAACCTGAGGGGTGCGGGGCCACGTGAGTGCAGGGTGGATGATGGGAGTGAGCAGAGTTGGGTGACCAGGACTGGGAAGAGCCACCCTAGCCTGGGATGGGAGCAGAGCAGTGGGTGGGTGTCACTGGTGAATGTCCAGGAAGAGGTCCCAGGGGCAATGGGTGAGGGACTGGGGGCAAGTTGTTGGTGAGCTATGGGGGGAGTGGGGAGTGTTGGGGAGCTGTGGGGGTGAAGGGCTGGGATATTGGGGGCTGTGGTCAGTGACGCTGAGCAGGAGGTATTTCAGGGTGGTTGTGAGGTTAGTAGGGGCTGGTGGAGGGTTGTTGGGGTATATGTGGGATGGGAGAGGCATTCCAGGGTCTGGGAGAGATTGGGGCACTTTAAGGAATGCAGGGACCCCCATTGCCCCATTTGCTGTACTCTTTTGTAGGATGAAACGTGATGTTGTGACTTCAGAATGGTGGATTCCAAAAAAGGGGTTGACATTTTTTTCTTTAAAATCTAAATTAGCTATTGCTGTTCTTTTAAATATTTTTGTTCTGAAAGAGGGTGGAGTACAGAGTACAGAGCATGGCGCTGGGAAGATCTGAATTATTCCCCCTGCAATCTTGTAAAAAGGAGATATTAGCCTCCCTGCTTCAGTGTTTCCATCTGTAAAATAGGAGGACTACTGCTTACCAACCTACTTTCAGAAGTGCTATGAGGAATGATTAGCTAATGTACATAAAGCACTTTGAAGTGAAATTGTTACACGAAGTGAGACAACATTGTCCAGTGGCTTCTCATGCAGCTGTGTGATGTTTCTTTGGGTCCAGTTTCCTTATCACGTAAACAGGGAATACTACCAATTTCTTAGTTCTGTTAAGCACTTGGTGATGATCCTCTCATGAAAAACGTAGTGCTATATAAATTCTGTTATTATGTAAGTGCTATTATTATATTGGGTTCTCTGGTTGTAATACATGTTCTGCCTCTAATTTAGATCCCAACTACATCATAAAGAGATATCTAAGTTAGTCAGAATTGTTTAGAATTTCTCTGCTTGTCCATCAATAAATCTGAAGTCTTTCTACCTTCGGTTTTTTTCCTGAGGGGTTGGGCTGAGTGGAAGTGAGTGCTTAGAAAGGAGGGCCTTCAACTTGCTGGGTTTGGAGAGTTTCAGTGTGGAAATAGGGGCAATCTGATCCTTTTTTGCAATCTGCTTTTAAAGACTGAATAAGCAAATATTTTACATATAAATATTTACTAATCAATTAATACCCCATGTTTCCATCTCTGTGCACTGGGAAGCCTGTAAAATGGGGGAATTCCAACTATGTGGCATGCTTCCCTTGATTCCCATCCTGGAGAAACATCTCTGCAGGGCTCGGTCTGGTTTAGGTCTGTGGACCTGTAGAAAATAGACAGAGGCAGGCTAAGGGTGGAAGAGAATGGGTGGACAAACTGGCTCCCAAATCTGCACCGGAAAATCAGCAGAAGTGAAAACAGCCTGAGGCTCTATTAACTTGTGCTGCTTCCCACGCTGCGGGCAGGAACCCTCCTACCTAGGGGTGAGAATCAGGGGGTTAGTTGTGATCAGTGGAGCACCTGGAAGCACAGCTCATGCAGGAACCGTGCTTTCCAGAGCAGGAGCTGGTGGGGCCAGACAGCAGAACAGAGTTGAGAGTCATCATTGTGAGAGAAGAATTCTGAGGAAACACTGTAGGACTGATTCATTGTACCCCTCTGGTGGCACAAAGAAAGAGGATCTGGCCCTCCACACCACTTTAAGGAGAACAAACAAATGACAGCGTGCAGCTAGGCAACCACATGTAGAATTAATCAGTTATTTAAAAAACAGCTACCAAAGGATTAATCAATGAACAACACGTACAGCCCCCAAAGGGCTAATTAAAAAGTAATTCCAACAAACGGTATGAAATTTCAGACTGTAGAGTTCAAACAGTTGTTAGGCTAAATCTTTTGTACAAGGTCACTTTGAACTGTGCTGTAAATGCGAGCAATTAATCTTTGGCTTCTGCTGCTTTTTAAAAATGACGATGATGATGTGCCTCTGCAGTTTGTGTGGAATTAATGCTTAGATAACACACCTCGCAGGACATTATTGCCTTTTCTTAACAATTATTGGAGCACTTTTAGTTTTTTTCTATAATCTGCTTTAAAGAAGATATTTTAGAATATCAGGGTTTTCAAGTTTTATCTTAAAAAACCCTTATTAAAAAAGTGGTGTGTGCCAATCTAATAATAATATTCTAGTGCAAAAATCCAAATAAATATAATATGGGAGTACTAAGTATTACAACTATGTCCAATGTGCTAAAGTCTCCATCCTGCACATGAGTACACATATGTTTAACTTGGCATGCATGAATAGGCCGTTGAAGTCAATCGAGCTACTCATGTGTAAAGTTAGACATGTGTGTAAGTGTTCATAAGCTCAGGGTCTAAGTCCGTTAGCTCAAGTGCAAGGGTTTTTATTCAAAAATACTTACCAGTAGTGTGGCCTAGCAGATCAAGCACTAGGCAGAGTGCCACAAGCTCCTTGACGTTATTCCTGGCTGTGTCACAGATTTGCTGGGTGGTGTTGGGTAAGTTACTGAAACTACACTTTTCATAACTGGGACCTGCATAAGGGCGATCTGATCTTCCTGGGATGCTGAGCCACCCACAAGTACAGACAAGACCTATGGAGGTGTGGGTGCTCAGCATCTGTACAATCAGGATACTTTTATTTAAGTGCCTAAAACTTTAGGGAGCGAATGATGGAAATTGTGACTTTGATCTCTCCATGTCTCATTTATAAAACAAAAGTGTGGATAATAAAACTTTATTCACTTACCTCCTAGGGCTCTTGTTTGTATAGAAATGTGAACATGTGAAGCATTTTGTAAGGGCTAAGAGCCATTCTTTTCCTTTCAGTTAATTTTAAACAGAACATGAATATATACAAATTAAATTCTAGTGGACATTTGGCTGTTTTATTTGTGCTTTAGCTAGGAAAAACCTGATCTAAAAGGTAAGAGGGGAAAAGCTTTTATTTAGCTGGGGGGGGGGGAAATCTTAACGCTCTAGCTCTTTCTTGTAAAATGTAAAAATGAGGCAAAGTGCTTTGGATAAGTATCCAAAATACACATCTGATAACATATTTAAGTTCGTTTTTGTCTGAGGCCTGTACATAAACACAGAGGGTCAGTTTCTAACATTTATACCCAATTAGAGCTGAGCAAAAAATTTCCATCAAAATCTTGGAAAAATGCCTTTTTGACTACAAGAAACTTATTTTTTTTGCTTGAAAAACAATTTTTTCCCTGAAAAATTCTAAATGAAAAATTTCAAATTTTTTCAAATAATTTAATTGCAGTAGGAAAAACAACACACTTTCTCCTTTACCCAGTGTAAAATATTTTTTAAAATCAAGTGAAAGAAAAGATAAGAAAAAGGGATTTTTTCTTCCCAATAAAAGGAAATCTTTTAAAACACCAAGAAATTTTAAAAAGAATTTTGAGGGGGGTTAACTTTCACAAAAATTACTTAACTTTTCTAGATGAGTTCAGCACTCAGTTGTGCCATCTGGGCACGACACTGGGTTGTTGTTGTTGGGCCTGAGGAGAAGGGTACACTCTAGGGAGAGCAGTGGGGCACTTGTGCAAAGAGTACCTTACCTTCTCCACATCTGGACAATGTGTGATGGGTGGGCAGAACAATGGCCCCTCCTCATCCCAGCACCCTTTGTGTGCTGCATGCCCTCGGGACATAGGGATGGAGAAGTCCCTGTGTTTCACAAGGGTGTGAGGGATAAATCCAATCCTTTCATCTTTCCTCCCCATACACACTATGCACCATCGTAGGGCCCAGGGCACAGTGAGTTTGCCTGGGTGTAACTGAGAGCAGAATGCACTGTCACACGTAACTCTTCTCATGAAGTGAATTTACTGTCGTACTAGGGAAGGGTAATAAATTCAGAGCCCTAAATAATAGTTCTCTTCACTAAGAGCTAGATTCTGCCATGGGCAGAGTTCTCCAATGGGTTTTTAAGAACTTTGCTAGATTGGGACCAGACTACACATGAGCCAGACTACACTTGGGCCAGAATCTGTGACCAATACTCACATTGAGTAATACTTTGAAATCAGTGGGACTACTCACCATCAATAAGCTTGGAGGGGAGAGGGGGTAGACTCTGGCTCAAATTAGGTAAAGCATAGTAGCAGTAGAACAATCTTATTTTATATGCTACTCCTCCATTAATAAGCCTAAGCACTGACTGGGAAAACCCATTCCTTCCTCATTCTGTCCTTGGTCTTTGCGGCAAAAGTTCATAAGAAACCCACTTAGTGCCAACTGACTACAAAGGTGTTTTTGTGACACCAACATTATCCACGAGGTAGGCTCAGTTCAGTTCCAGCTCATTCTGCAGTGGCCACTTGACATTTGAAACTAAATTCCTCCTCCTAATTTTTTTTATATTAAGATCAATAATTTATTTAACAGCAAAAAAATTCAAGTTTGTTTATTATCCATAGTGAATTTTTAAATGAAACCATTTCCCCAAATGATCCTACACTCAGAAAAACAATACGTGAATAGTAATACACCCACCTTCATTATGACATCAGCCTTGGAGCAATACCATTTTGCATGTAATAAAAAGCTGTTTTTATGATAAAGGGAAATGATATTGTCAATTTAATGTAGCCAGGAGTCAAGGTACCATCTTGCTTAAGGAGAGTACTACTAAAGAAAGCCATTTGATGAGACTGGAGGGTGTATTTTAACTGAATAGCCATTTTCTTTCAAACATATTTGATACAATTAAGTTTAGTTGATTATTTTTGCCAAAGCGCAGGGAGTTGTGTGTAGGCCCTCTTCACTGGGTGAATTTCACTCATGGTTAATGTAAGCTAAGTTAGATGACGTTATAGTTTGTTGTCTAAAGAACAGCTAAAAAAACCATTTTCTATCTGTGATCTAGAGAACAATTCTTGTCCCATACTGCACCTTGTTTGGTTTGCTGAAAGAGAGTCTATTACAGAATATTTGCTGAAATTGAATTTAAAATTTAGAATCACAATTATTCTCCCCTGATTCTAAGAATTACATTCATCCAGTCAGAGAACAGAAACACATTATGTAACCTATATGTTCAATCAAGACTGACAAATTTTGGATATCAAATATTCACAAACACCACCTTGTAAACAAGCTACAGATCAAGAGCTATTTGTACAAATTATTCATCAAATAAATTTGAATAGTGTATACATTTGAGAATATGGCAATCTGTATGGATAGTTCACAGACAGAAAAAATACAACATTTATTTAGTAAATTATTCATTACAAATTACTTACTGTAATTTGTAGTTAATAGAGCTGGGTAAGGAACTAATTTTTTGGAGCAAAGTACCCCTTACATTGTGGTTTCTTTTCTTGCCTATTTCCAGAGAAGACAAAAGGCCTCAAATTTTGCTGTCAGTTAAACTGGTATAACTCCTGAATAATTCCATCAAAATAATGTAAGTAGTAAGGATTTACATCAGTGTAAGAGAGTAAAAATTTGCCCTACAGAATTATTTTAAAGAGGTAAGAAGTCTTGCAGCTCTTAGGCCCTGTCTACACTGGCTCCCCAGTCATGTTTATGAACAGTGTTTAAGTACAGTTCTTACTGAACAGTGCTTAAACGTGGTATAAATGGTGCCAAGCTACATGAAAAACCATTTGGAAAAAAAAATATGGATCTAGTCTAGAACATCTAAAGATGGTTTTAAGAGAGTTCAAACATAGCAGTAGGTAGAGCCTAAGAAACCCAGTACAGAAATTGGGCCCAAATCCAATGTATTGGAGAACCAATGATTTAAAAAGGATTTGCAGAAACAAAACTATAGTCAATCAAGTCTGATGTGCGCCCTGGAGAAAAGACAACCTTTCCTTTTCATGAGCCATTGATTTGTGCTGATTCAAGTTCTAATTGGGTTGATTCAGCAGTTTTTGTCTTCCATACTATTTCCCCACTTGTAAAAAAGGAAAGTGGGCACTAAATTATATTTTGTTGGAAAAAATGCACACAGCTTCATGGGTGAATCTCCATGTGTTGATTGCCTCTTACCCCAGCATTTAAAGTAGTGTGTTTTTCCTCATTGCCATCAAGGTGATGAATAACAACAAAGAGGAAGCTGCCTGGGTGGTTCTGAAACGTTGGAAGCCTGTCAGAAATGTTGCCCCCAGGCCAAAATAAATATGACAATAAAAATAAACTTAAAATTCTTTTGTTGTTTAATTTTTGAATGGGTTATTTTAAGTAGACAGGCAGAAGAACACTGCTTTCAGGTCCCTATTTCCCAGCAAAATTCTTGCTTCAGTAATTCTCAGCAGCCAGCATGCTATTGAGTCAATTTTTATGTAAATAAGTTAAACATTATATATTTCTACGGGTTCCAGCATGATTCATAATGTGCCTTTTTGTTCTGAAACCTGCTAAAGGAATTACAAGAAAAAGTGGTATAGGTAAAGCCCAACTCTCTTTCACGATCCTAAGTGCTTATCAAGAACATTCAGCACTATGTAGCTCTATCAACAGTGGTAGCTCTACAACATGGGGTTGAACTGAAACACAAATCTAGGCAAAAACCATTTTGAGGCTGATTAAAGAAGAAAGAACAGGATGGTTTGTACGTGTGTGGATTGCAGCCACTTACAGTGTCCCAAATCAACATCCACTGACTGTGTGTAGAATTAAATATACCCCATGTCATCCACCTTATGCTGTGCAGTTGTGGCATCACCTGGATAAAATTTGGCATGAATTGCACTGGATTATCATGGGAACCTGATCCGTTAAATGTTCTGTCTAGCAAAAGTTTGCTAAGTATCATGGGAGGAAGCAAAATGATGAAATAGCATTTTGGTGACTTTAATTAGGTTTGGGAAAAAGAAGTTAGTTGTAACGTGTAGACGTGTTTAAGCGACAACATGACTGCTGCCTTGACTGAATATTTTGTTGACTTTATTTTTAATGACTATGAGCTATGCAGAGAGACTATTCAAATCCTTAAATTCCTTCAGATGTTTTTTACAATTAAAGAGGATTTTACCATATATAAAAAATAAAGACTGCAAAGAGAAATTATTTAGTTAAAGCAGCTGAGGAAAAAAAGAATCGCTGATGAAATCCACTGATGAATGTGATGTCTTTTTATGCAAAAGCTCTAAAACTACCACCAGATGTCCCTGTAGCCTAAAACACGTAGCGGGGCTGGTATGCTGTACTCTCAAGTGTGAGTGACACTGTGTATTTACCTGTGTTGAAAAGGAGACCTCATGGAAATAAAGGAAGTACAAAAATAATAATTATAAAGTAGAGATGGGCCAAGACCGGAGTCATTTACGTGAATATTCCTTTCTCCCAACATTTAGAGGTTTGGATAAAACAGGACCAGGATAGTGATAAAACACTATCAGAGTTTCCATAAATGAGGGAGGAACTGTAGGTGGTGAAGCTACCTGTTTTTTTTTTTTTTAAAGTATATTATGTATGTACAGACCATACAGAGGGTATATTTACACTTCACACTAAACCTGGGTCTGTGAGACCAGGTTTGTAAACTCAATGTTTCCAAACCTGCACTTGACCATCCACATGGCATTATAAATCTGAGCTTACAGTTGCTGGACCAGGTTTCACATACTGCATTATGCAGCCCTTCTGACACGGGTTTGCGGCTTGACCTGCATCCATGCTGCAAAATAACGAGGCTTGGATGCAAGTCTCAGCAGGACGTGGTCACTGACCCACCCCGCTAGGACATGGGTCCTAGAACCCTGCTGAATGTTTGCTGACCCAAGTCAGTCTGATTTGTGTGTGGACGGAAGGGAGGTTTGGGCTCAAATCTAAGTCAGGGTCTGGGTTTACTGTGTGCAGTGTAGACATACTCAGGGTGCTTTGGTGAATGTAAACTGAAATCATCTTATTCGTCTGTCTTTCTAGAGTGATATTTCTACTATTTTGGAGTTTTATAGTCATGCTTTACACCAGACCATCTCAAAGAGCTTTAGAGCTAAAATTGAATCCCACCTCACAATCATGAATCCCCTGTGAAGTAGGGAAACATGATTATCTCCATTTTACAGATGGAAGAAATGAGACATGGAATGGCAAAGTCATTTGCCTAAGGTCATACAGGAAATTAGTGTCAGGCCAAGACTAGAACTCATGGGCCTTGTTTAGTTCTCATTTGCACCAGCTTTCAGTTAGCATAATTCCATTGACTTCAGTGGCGTTACTCCTAATTTACAACAGCATGAGAAAAGAATAAAGCATCCCATCTCCTGATTCCCAGTCCTGTGCCTTAATAACAAGACCATCCAACCTTTTCACTCACTATTTGCTATCAGGGAAATCAGAAATTGTACAACATGACATACAAGAACCTAGATAATTATCTGAAACTTATATGTAAAATTTAAAGGAAGGGAGTGCCTTCTTCCCTTCCACTGGTTCAAATGGGGGAAGGCCCCTGGGAATTATTGCATGGTGTTTTTCAGTTGATTTGCTCTTTCTTTTGTGGATAATAAGCCCTGAAGAAGGGGACTTAAAAGGACTGAGATTTGGAGCTTTATGCACTGGCCATGCCTCCTTCCTGGTCAGCACCATACCCCTATTAGGGAGCTCTTATAACTCCCTAGCACAAGGAAGGCTGGCTGCAACAGCCCTCTCCTCCTCCTCTATGGACCTCTACTAGGGTCTCTGTTAGCTTCCTGGGGGGTGAATTTATCCCACAGCCTTCTATTGTACTATAGTTCCACTGGATAGATATCCAGATTAGGTAGATTAAGAAACCATGTTGCATGTTTGTGTGTATGCACGCACACACATTCTTAACCACTGGAAATGCAGATAAAACTCATGATGGGCAGTATCACTTCATTTGCAGGCAGAAAATATAACACCATCATCCTGGAATTTTTTTCCCTTCAAATATATTGTGCATTTTATTTTTTAAACAAAGCTTGTGTTTATATAAAATATCATTCCCCTAAAATTGAGGAAAGCCAGCAGACTATGCTCACTGTAGCTTTATCAATAAAATATATTGGTGTTTTCCAGATTGTTGGAAATGGTGAAGAACTGGCAGAGATGGTACAGAAGAACCTTGAGAATGGTGTGGAATATTACTATCCAAAAGAACTTAATGGATCCTTGCAGCTCTCCAGTGATGACACATATTCCTTGAGAATCACAAACACTACTAGCCACAACAGTGGGACATATGGGTGCATCTTGTGGGCACCAGCTGGAAAACACAACCAAAGTGGCACAATCATATTAAAAGTAACAGGTATGGTAGGGTCATTTGACTTCTTCATGTTTGATATGGCAATTTAGTGATTAAAGACCATTTCAAGATATGCTTTACTTCAAGGTGAACAGAGATACCAATACATCTTTAAAACACCTCATTTATTTTATATTTCAGGTTGTACTGAACAATTAGATGAAAAATTTAAAAAATACAGAGCGGAACTTTTATTGCTGTCCTGCCTTGGGATTTTTTACTTGCTGCTCATCTTTTTTACCTGTGTAAGTAATGTTTTCTACATGTTTGCTTTTGTCTTCTCAAAATATTTCATTTACCAATAGAAGCTGATTCCCATATCTAGTTTATGGCCAAATTCTGAATTCCTTGTATGCCCAAAACTTCTATCAAAGTCACTGAGAGATTTGGGTGCACAAAGAATGGATGACAGAGTCCTCAATACATAAAGTATTTATTCACTCCATACACCCATTTGACTCACTACATACTGTCCTTCTGGAGCACCAAAGCGCTCATTTCTGCTCCCAGTTACGCCAAGTATACATTCAGAGAAAGGCCATTAACTTCAATGGATGTTCTCAGAAAACACAATGTGGCAACTGGAAATAGAATTTGTCCAAGAATGAGGTACAGACCTACAGGATATCTGCTCCATTTATTATGTTCCCAGTCTGATGGACTGCATATTGTCCAACTTGCACACTGAGAGCCTGATACTTCCTCACTGAAATCCTTGAGATTTTGGCCTCAGTTTCCTTATCTGTAAAATGGGGATGATTACTTCAGAGGGATGCTGTGAATCTTAGTATTTGCCATTATATGTCCGTAAAGCATTTTGAGATCACTGGATGTGAAGCAATATAGAAGTAGAAAGTAATATTATATACCAAAGGTAATGAAATCAGTAGTTTGCAATTGACCATGAATTACAGCTCTTTGAAAGCAAAATAGAAAACCCACTTCTTGACTGGGCTGCACACAGCACCACCACATGTAATACCACCCCAGACAAAACAAACAAACAAACAAACCTGAAAAGCACAAGAATACTATGCAGTGTAAACTTTGGTCCTTACTATCAGATGGTTATGGGGATATGGAGAGAATAGGCATGTTAGAAGCTAGCTAGAGAGGAATGGGATGAAACATTATTTATGATACTAGTGAAACCATTCCCTATGGCAGAAAAACCAGGAAGTCTATAGTTCATCACCTTGAGGTGGCAAGTCCCTCAAGTTTTAAGTGCTAATTAGATTTTTCAATAATGGTTCTATTCCCCCCCATGGGAACCTTACATGAGAGTTTTGGTGTATTTTACTAAAAACCCCAAACCCTCCACCATTCACTTTTAAAGTTTTCTTGGCTAAATTTTATTGGTATTATTGTCATGTTCGGTGACACAAATCATAAATGCTATCTGATTGGAGAATTAGCTGCAGCTAAAAGTAGCTTTTCATATATCTTCAGGGAGCAATTAAAAACTCATGTCTGCCTGTTTTTTAGATTGACAATTTCTGCCAGTAATTTGTGCCATTCAGAATAAAGTTTGACAAGCTAAATCTTGTAGAAATTTGCTAAGATGAAAGTATGAAAGCAAGTATATCACTCATTAAAAAAAGATGCTCCCATTTTGTTCAGTGTCTCTAATGTGGCTCATGCTGGTTGTAAAGAACCTCTCCTTCCACATATAACAACTGTAAATTTTATTTGCAGTTGAAGTTTTGTGATTTTAAAAAATGAACCGTATGCTGGAGGTGACCATCCTGATGAAAAATTACATGCGACACTCTACTAGTATGGGAGCCCAATCTCAGCGACACTAAATCAGCTTTCATCAATGTTTAATATTGCCTTAATCTCAGCAAAGAACTTTACTATTTAATATGTCTGTTAAGTGTTCAGGAATAATGAGGCTTATAAGAATTTAACAGCCATTGAACTCAATGGCAATTTTGAGTGTGGATCGATGGCAGGATTGGGACTTTAATAAGATTTACACTTCACAATTTGTTGAAGATATTTCAGACTTTAACGGGCATACAAGTCAGGTGAAAACAGATTTGTGATCCAACACTAGATTGTCACTTTTCAAAAAGATTACCAAACTGAGGCCCATTTTAACCAAAGCCTGTAAATTTAAAATAAGGTTCTCAGTTTCCCTGTGGTATCTAGGTCTTCTGACTATGTGATACTTCAGATGAGTGGGCAAGCAAGACAGTTGAAATGTTTCCTTTTATTGGAGAGCCACAGTCTGGTGAGAAATGAATGGAAAAGGTGTTCCAATTAATTGTGGTTAGCACTGAGCAAACTCTTAACAGTAATTTTAATGCATAATCCTTACTTTAAAAATGTATTTAAAAAAGAACAAATAAACATCAAATGATCCTTTTCTTTGCTTTTTTAGACATGCCTAAAAAAAGAGAACATGCTTCCAGGTTATCATAAACACAGAAGAGAACAGAAACACACACTTATCCTTGTCAGTGCGCAAGAAAAGAAGATTATCCAGTGTTTAGGCAGCAACAGCACTTGCAAAAATGGACCTAATTTGAGTTCTGGCCAAGCTGATGTAGTTTAAGAAACTGTGGGCTCATTAATAAACACCTCATGAAGATGGATGGTTGGGCAACATAGAGAGGAAATAAAAGCTAACATACTGCCTCTTCAGGGTATCCTGATAGCTTAGGTAATCTGTCAAATACCTGCTTGTGCTGGACAAGTCTTCAAAGAGTATCTTCATACAGTACAATAACTGTTGAATTTAAGGTGACTAACAAATACCAGTGCCGCCCTACAGCTTTGTTACAAGGCTATTATATGGTTGGCATATGCTCCACTTCAATCCATTATACCCATCTTGTTCTGAGAGAGGCTATTTCTACCATCTGAAAAGTAGGTTACAGAGAGGATTTGATGGTGTTGATTTAGAGGATTAAGTTATCGACTGAACTAATATCTCAGCTCTTTTAACAGTCACGCACTACTGCTGCTGCAGTACAATTTTTCAGAAAGCTAAGCATATATGCTTCACTCTCCTCTGGACGGTGAGCTCTTGTTTTTGACGGCATTCACTACCATGATTGAGAAGTATGGCTACATAACATCCTGGAGATTCACCAAATCCAACCAGATTTATTTTTATTGGTTAATCTCAGAGTGATTGATGGACAGAGAGATGTAAGAGAGATAGACAACATCCTGGAAATCTTTCCCTAGTATGCAGACCCTTCCATTAGTGCAAGGAGTGCAGATAAATAAGAGGCCCGTCAGTGATTTCCCAAGAGCACCTTTACTTCAGGGAACATTTATATATATTTCAGGGAACATTACACACACACACACACACAGACACACACACACACACACACACACACACAGCTACAAATTTATCATGCTTTTTAAACCTACCACATCAGTGAAGAAGCATGTGCTATTCAAAAGACTTATAAACAGATGGATTCTTCTATGATTTTATAAAACACATGAGACTGAATTTATCTCTGGTTTAAATCAGTGGAATTACACTAGGGAAAATTGGGCCTGTGACTTGTAAGATCGGTCATTGGGGGCGGGGGGGGGGTTAACCTGCCCTTGGAATATACTGAGAAAGCCAAGAGATAGGAGAGGAGATGGAATAACTGAGCAGCTACGTTTGGCTGCTCATGGTGTATACTGAGTATATAAAATGAGGATGTGAGGAAAGCTAAGTTCAGGTATCTCTAGGGAAAGGAGACCTGTCACCTTGAACCAAAGAGAGCAAGGGACATTCCAGACCTAAGATGATGGAATCTGAGAGTCAGAACTTCCCTCACTAGCTTGCCTGCATGCAAGTTCAGGTCAGAATACAGTTTAGAGGGATTCTAGAAGTTTGAGCTTGAGGTTTGAATCTGTGAAATGAGGAGCATAACAGGGTAGATTTACAATCATTTAACAACACCATTACAATAATTGTATAAAAATTGGATTAAATAATTATAAACACTAATTGATGTAGTATAATTTTAAAAAGGGATTGTAATTCTAAATTGTGTAAAGATGACTTTCCTTTGACTGTATTGAAGGTGTGATGGGAGGAAAGCACATTGCATCACTCAACAATGCCCCTTTTGGCCAATTAAAGTTCTGCACCAATTGAGTTTCAAGGGAATTCTGTCCAGTTGTTGGCCGGAAGGACGGTGGGGGTGCAGGACTGAACGTGTTATTTATTTGGTGCATGCTAGATTACCACCACACATTTGCTTTTAAGTAATCAATTTTACATATAAATACATGTACTGTAAATGAAATTAAATTCAGAGGTAACCTACCTACCTGTATTCCTGTGTGCCATGTACTGTAAATAAATTGCTCCATAGAAATTGTGGTTTATTTTACATCTGATACAATTAACAGATTAAGATGTCTGACTGTGTGTGTGTGTAACTGATTATTTTGTGTATTTCCAAGTGGTTAAAATTATTTATTTACTCCTCAAAGTTCAATTTTAGGTAAATTAAACCTGTTCTGTTGCTAATAGAGAAATGTATCCCCCCTAATTTTATTCCATCAATGCCCACTTTTAAACACAGGGCACCAGTAAAAGTGATGTAAATGTTTAGTAGGTGATAGAGTGGATTGGATATAAATACCTACAGATAAAAGCAACTATTTAAAATTTCACTCTATTACCATTCTAATTCGGTTTAGTTGCATGCACACCATGATATCAAATAACACCAAGCCTCTTTACTGATCCTCCTAATGGCCTCAGGTTCCATACATGTTGAACAAGAAAGGTGACAAGAAGAGGCCCAAGAAGAGATCCTTGGGGTGGACCAGCAATTGCCCTGCAGGACCCCTGAGAAAGAAAGGAAAAGCTACTCCATCTCTCCCTATGAGGGCCAGCATACATGTTGACAAAACTCCAAATATCAAAGGCACATGGTAGATCTAAAAGAATCAGTATGGACAACTGAGCATCATCCCTCCTCAAGAATCAATAATAAACCAACCCAGTAGATCATGCTCTTCTTCCTGAAATCTTGTCCACCTTTGGCTTCCGTGACTCTGTCCCACTTGGTTCTCCTCCTACCTCTCTAATTGTTCCTTCAGTATGTCTTTTGGAGGATCGTCCTCATTCACCCTCCAACTTTCTGTAGGAGTTCAACAAGGCTCTATATGCTTGGTCTCCTTTTCTCCCTCTATACTTTATTTCTGGGTAATCTCATCCACAAACAAGTTCAGCAGTAATTTAAGCACTAATAATACCTACCATCTCAATGCTGATGGCTCACAGATTTACCTCTTTGCCTCTGCCTCCATCTCCATCAGCTCAAGCTAAACATGGCTAAAACAGAGATCCGAATCTTTCCCCCACCAAGTCCTCGCCGCTACTTCCTTTCTTGAGCACTGTCAACAATGCTGCCACCCTGCCTGCCACTCAGCTTGTAACCTGGACATCATCTTCCACTCTGACCTCTCTCTAGATCCTCACATCCAGGCTATAGCTAATCATGCTGATTCTTTGTACATAACATCGCTAAGAAACAGCCATTCCTAGCTATCCACAGAGCTAAAACTCTCAGGCTCTGAACAGCTCACTTTTCAATACTGCCACATCCTTCTCTCTGGCCTCGACAAATGCTATCTTGTCCTGCTTGTATCCATTCAGAATGCGGCTGCAAAGCTCATTTTCTGAGTCTGTTGCTTTAGCCATGTTACCTGTCTCTTTGAATCCCTCCACTAGCTTTGAATCCCTCCACTGTAACAAAATAAGCTGCTTGTGTTCACTTCAAAGGTCCTTCACAGTCAGTCCCCACCTGACCTTAATCTCTCCTTCACTATCGACTCCTGCCACCAATCAGCCCATGATGCCAGCCTGCATTGCCCACTTGTTACATTTTCAAACAAGCATCTTTGTACTTTCTCTCCTGCTACTCCTGACACTTGGGAGGTGTGCCCCATAAACATCTGCAAAGCTACTTCATACTCCACCTTCAAATCCCTCCTCAAAACTCTCCTTTCCAATAATGCCAACACAAAACTTGACAGCAGTTAGGCTGCTGGTCTGCAGAGACCACTGCCCATCATGTTGACCAACTGTTTCCTTGTTGTCTCTTGTCGTATATTTAGATTGTAAACTCTTTGGGGGAGGGACTGTCTTTGTGTTCTGTGTTTGTACAGTGCCAAGCATGATGGAGTCCTCGTCCATGACTGCGGCTTCTACCCCAAAATGATTTGTAAAAACAACTTAGCCCATTTTCTTCATTTTCTGGAGCAGCTTGTTTGGAATAGAAAAGTTTGGGTCTGAGACAGTATTTGACGTGAGTCAGATTTCAAACAAGTTCAAGTCTGGTTGATTCTGGAGTTTTGGTTCAGGCCCTGCTAGAGTTTAGAAGACATTATTTTCCAAAAGCTCTCATATGTTGCAGAGTTTAGAAGAGGCCAGGGATGAGAAAGCCTTATGCTAAGATATTTGATTGTCTGATTGACCCACAAAGCTAGTAACACATTGGTAACAGTTTGAAACTGAATGAATGTACCTGTGCATCTGAGATGTTCATACATGGACACATGTATCTGAAAGAATACAATAACAATAAAGTAGAAGATCAGTCTAGGAGCCTAAAACTTGCTAAGCTATTAAGACTGAGGGCCAGGCAGAATCACAACCAAAATGTATGACCAAAGATGGTAATAAGACTCAGAAAGGAAAGAGATTTTAAGGTCCGATTTGAAAGTCCCTCTCATAGTAATCTCCATAGTATTCTGGGTATGAATTTCAGAAGGTTAAAGGACTGAGATCACTCTGCTGCAATTTGCATCTGTGGTTTGAGAGGGGCCAATTATTTCAAACCCAATGACTAGATCACTAAATCAAACCGTCCTGTGTGTGTGTGTGTGTGTGTGTGTGTGTAAGTAAAAGAGGAATTTAACATTTACAGTCTTGAAGGTAGTGTGTTTGTGCATTGCATAATCTCAAGGCTGTACAGGTTTTGTTGGAATAATTACACTGTTGGGCATATTTTTTCCCCTCCTTGCGCACCAGGCTTCCTGGTATGGATGGTTTTAGTCCTGTGAGGTAACACTGTAGGTAGAGTACTGTATGCATATAGCTACACTGCACTTATTATGCCTTCCACCAGAAGATCTCAATGTGTTTTACAAACATTAATGCATTTAATCTCAACACCCATGTGAAGCAGGGAAATGATATAATCCCCACTCTACCGATAGGAAACTGAAGCACATGAAGATTAAGTAACCATGGGCAAGTTACTTAAAGGAATCTGTGTCAGAACCAGGAAGAGAACCCATATTTCCTGACTCTCCAATGTCTGCCTTAACCACAAGCACATCCTTGTTAATATTTTTTTTGTAAACGGTGGTCTGTATTTTTCCACTGGGTTATCTGAGGGTGAACGGAATGCATCCAAAAAATGGCAGTTTTAATTTTTTTTTCCATTTCACATACAAAGTATATATGTAGGTGGAGCTTGTTCATCTCTGATCAAAACTGGTGTACAGGGAAACACTGAACCACACACAGAAATGGCTCCAGCAAGAGATTACAATAGTCATACACTCACTGAAACTAAATGAATATGCAAAATGGCAAGTAGAGGAAGCTACAAGAAATAATTTCTGAAATGCCGAGTGCATGAATTATAGCCCTTAGCTAAGCCTGATTTGTGTGACCAGCACTTATGCAGCAGATAACCCAGGCTGACAATGACCCTTGGCAGTATTGCAACATTAATATTTTCAGTAAAGGCTGAACTATTCTTGACCAATTTCTCCTGAGTAATAGCCAAAAGCGTGCTTGTATTCAACATCATGAACCAAATTCAGCCCTGGTGTAACTACGGCTGATACTGGGGAAGAATTTGGGCTGTCTTCCTTCCTTCTTTCCCCTATCTTTTACAATATATGAGCACTATGGACAGTGTGAGAAACGTCATTCTTTCACTTGTATACGAATTCTTTTATATCTCCTCCTACAGAAGAGCAGTGGTGCAGTAGAGACAGGATCTTGTTCCAAGCCCATCACTAGCATTTAGTGACCTTCTGCACCAATAAGTCTGTCCTTTGGGGGTTGAAATTGATTTTCCTTACCTCTGGACATGAGGACTACACCTTTACACTATGTTACAGATGCTATGAGGTGCTACGTATTTCAATATGCATTG